CCATTAAGGAGTGTCAATAGCATGATGCGTGAGGTTAGGTGATTTGTTATAAATGCAAAACTTTACAGTCAACACACGATGATGAGATTTATCTCCGTCAATAGATCAGCGAACATTAAATACGATTTTCGTAGTTCTCACATAGCCAATGCGATGTTGCCGTAAATGACGTCAGTTGACGATGGTCACGCAAACCGGTGTCAGAGCCATCGGATCGTCTTCCTACCAACAGCGGTAGCCAACACGAACAGTTGTGGTGATATTGAAGAATATTGACTACGTAAGCCGCTAAAACAACAAATATATAAAATAAAGCTGCGCTAACCACTCAAACTTGCTCTGTTACCTTAACCATTGTTGATAGCGAAAGATTTGTTGTTGTCTATGCGAACACCGGAAATTCCAGTTCTTGCCTGCGGTTATCGATTAAAGCGGTCAAAATGCTAAGACCAAATATAAAGACGCACATTGACTAGTATCTACATACTGGTGAGTGGACATTAACCATGTGAATGTAGCAAAGAAATTTATCGCGCAGTATTGTGACTTCGACCCCACCTCGCTTCCGTGGAAGAAATCGTTATGTTATAAGTTGTGTCATGCAAAATCCGTTTGGTTATGATTCCAATACATATTTAACAACGAGTAGAAAGTAGTCTTGATTTTCTAACTTGATGAAAACAAACTATAATCTCATTAATTCTAACAGATTTTCTAGTTTTAAAATGGCGGCGCCTTCGTCGGGAACATCCGCCAGTCTGAGGATAAATGGTATTTAGGTTTGTTTTCACCGAGTTACAAAATCAAAACTACTTTTCTACTGGTAGTAAAATATGTATTTTTATTGATGGCCAATAGGATTTTGCATGACATAGCGTATATCATAACAGTTTCTCTCGTGGCAGCGAGGTGGGTGTCAATATAATACTACTTACAATATTATTGTTACTTCGACCACAACCTCACTTCCGAGGAAGAAATCGTTATGTTACAAGTTGTGTCATAGAAAATCTTTATGGTCATCAATCATATGCATATTTTACTACAACTAGTAAGTAGTTTTGATTCTTTAACTTCCGTGAAGCGATCTGAACACAAGTAAGATATCGTTTCAGGCTTCCACAACGCTCGCTTCGCACTCACAAACATAACCCATTTAGCACGAACTGCGGGGTCCTGTGGAAATCTGTGCATGGGGACACCATCGCCCGACCCTAGGAACAATTGACGACAAAGCAACGATTCGGCATGTCGTCGTTGATGTCGAGAAATCATCAAAATGATGAGCGTGCTACACATTTTCTATACAACTAACTGAAAATCGTTCCTCATATGACGTCACTGCAGTGCTCTGGCGACAGAGTTACGTAACCTGTCTGTGGTTTCGTTGGCGGGCGAGAGGGAAGCAGGCGACTTTTTGGCCACTTTTAATCGCTCGGTATTAATTAACCACAAGTTTTTAAAGAATAAATTTGGTGTTCCGCATAAGACTAACAACAAATCTTTCATATGTAATGGTTAAAAGAGTAACAAAAAACAAAGTTTAGTGGTTCTTTAAAGTTGCCCTGTTTTGGCGCTGAAGCATATATTTGTGTTGTTTTTGCCGCAGCTACATGAGTCCAATATTCTCAATATCACCTATGTGTTTCTTTTTGAGTGTTGGTACCACTGGTTGGTGCATCGGAGGCAGCTCAATTAATTGATAAATATATTTTCAATTTGCTGCGTGACATCATTAGCTACTGACGTCATTTACAGTAGCATCATTGCATTGTACCTATGTAATTCTGAAAAAAAAATCCGTATTTAATGTTATGATCTATTATTACATGGAGATCATCTCATCACATCACGTGTGTTGCGTTTGTAAAGTTTGCATTTATTAGCTCATCTACCTGCTCCTCCATCCATGCTGTGTGACCGCCTCCTTGATGTAGTGGTTAGAGTGTCCGCCCGGAGAGCGGAAGGTCGCAGGTTCGATCCCCGGCCGCGTCATACCAAAAGACGTCAAAATATGGTACTTGTTGGTCCCTGCCTGGCGCACGGCATTAATGGGTACAACAAGGAGTGGTCGGCTCGGAGTCAGTATGATGTGTATGAGTGGGATATTCATGCTAAACTGCGGCATGGTATCTCAGAGAGCTAGCACTATAATACCAGATTAGGCCTGCTGTTAGTAGATATTTGTCACAGGCTGATCATACCAGAATCATTACATGGTTGCACAGTACTATTGTATTACAAAAATATTGCTTAGGTGCCTAAGGTGTCTAGCAGATAAGTTCATTATTTTTACAAAACATTAATTAGTGTTAAATTATTATTCTAATGTTACGAAGTGACGTCACAAAGCAATGTCATCTTCAAAACACATATGCAGCTATGATACTGGGATGCGAAAGACTTCAGTTACATGTGAAAGTCATGAATGTTATTTGTGAAAAACAAAACGTTTACTAAAGTGCTCTTCTTCTACAGAAGTATTTAGTTTCATGTAGGATGTTGTTGTATCGCCCAGATAACAATGTTGCCATATAATTATTAGGGTGACCTATTTTCAGTGAATAGTGCTATATGTTTTCGCCTCGGCACAGCCTGTTTAATTTTATGCTGGATAGCCTTTGGGAAAAGTTTTGAAGCACTTGCAATTAATAATTAAAGTTAAATATACACTCAAGGTCGTTCACTCCCAAATGTATAATGTTCATTAAAACCCAAGACATGTTTGCTGCAGTTTAATGATTTAGCACATATCATACACAGAACATGTAAGTGGTAAGGGTTCAAGAAGGTAAGCGGACTCAAACGGACATTTGTAAAATTCGCTGTTTACATTACATCTGACAAAGTATGAAACTTTCTCTTTGTACTGCACACTGTTCCCAAAAAGGAACTGACACCATTCAACTAAAGTTATTGAAAAGACTGTAAGACATACACAGGAATAGGTTAACCACTTAACTCCCCAGAGCTTGCAGAAAAGAGTGGAAATGTCTTACGGTCCTCATTATGTTTGCGGGAGGCACTGTGTCATAACGTGATGTCATTTCGCAGTAGTTTGGTTATGCTATCACACTGGAAATGTGTGTTACCATGTAATGATTTCTAGAAAGGGCAGTGGGTAGCTGGATCCCATTCAGCAAGTACTTAATAACAGCTCACTGGTTGTAGCTCTAAATTATACATATACTAGGCACATAAAGAAGCTGCGCATACAGAAATTTAAAATCTAAATTTTTCAAACTTGTGTAGACACATAAGGATTTAAACTCAGAGATTCGTGACATGTATCCAACATGCATGCACGTGCCACGTTCCGTGACGTCAGTGGGTTTGTCCTTGACACGTGCAATACGTTGTTGCACGTGCATTCCGGGAAAGAGAAACAGAGCAAATGAATGCCACACAATACTGTCACGTTAGAAAGCTCAACCCCTGTCCTTGCAATCGTTCAAAAATTAAACGGCTATTGAAACGCATAGCATGCCAAGGCTCACGTCTGCACAACGTCATGAGGCCATTGGGATGGTCCGTTGGGGAATGTCTCAACGACAAGTGGCTGCACATTTCCACTGCCACCGGAACTCCATTTCTGCACTGGTGAGACGCTACCAGAACACAAATGACGTCATCAATCGGTCACGTTCTGGACGTCCACGTGTAACAACGCCAAGACAGGACATATGGATAAGGGTGACCCATCTTCGCCACAGATTTCAGACTGCAGTGATGACTGCCCGAACCATCCCAGGACTTCGCCGTATCCACCCCAACACAGTTCGACAACGTTTACGTCATCACGGGATCAGACCACAACGTCCCGCCATACTGCCTATCCTGACACAATGTCATCGACAAGCTCGCTGAATGTGGTGCCGAAATCATGTCCGCAGACTCTTGTTTTGGTGGAGAAATGTTGTTTTTACAGATGAGTCCAGGTTTAACATTTCCAATAGTGATGGACGTCAACGTGCCTATAGACGCGTGGGAGAACGTTATGCACAGGCCTGTGTCTTGAAGAGGAATTGCTTTGGTGGTGGTACGGTGATGATTTGGGGTGGAATAACAGCACGCCAAAGAACTCCTTTGGTGATTGTTCAGGGCAACTTAACTGGTGTGGGCTACAGGGATCAGATTCTTGGACCTGTGGCAATTCCTTTTCTGCAACGTCATGGCCCTGGGTTAACATTCCAACAGGAGAATGCCCGCCCTCATACGGCAAGGGTTGCTATGGATTTCTTGCAACACCACAACATTGACTTACTGCCTTGGCCTGCAAATTCACCGGATCTCTCCCCGATAGAGCATGTTTGCGAAGAGATGGATCGACGTCTACGCCGTCTTCCTCATCCGCCAGATAACGTCCTTGACCTTGCAACAGAGCTTGAGAGAATCTGGCGTGACATCCCACAAGCCTTCCTTGCACGTTTGATAGGCTCTATGCGTCATTGATGCACTGCTGTTCTCAATGCCGATGGTGGACATACCCGTTATTGAGCTTTGGACATGGTCGCTTGACCCCTGTCCCGCTTGTGGACTCGTGATGTCATTGTGATTGACTTTTCAATTGAAATTCTCCCGACTTGTTATGGTCTTATGATCCTTCCATTAAAGTTTATATGTACCTTTGACATTGTTATCGTACTTATCAACTGGGATAATATTTGGACAATGCACAGTTTCTTCATGTGCCTAGTATACATACAATGGACTAGCAAATCTGAAGATTGTATAGCACATGTACCTGTACCTTCCTTTATGCCGTGCTTATGTGCGTCAATGAGATCTGACACACTGACGTGGGGACATCGTGATTTCATGTGGTAAGTTGGCCTGGACTCGTTGCTCTTTATTACAATTTTTGATAATATGATCACTCAATATATATTCGGTAACAATGACATAATTGGCCAAATCAACATTAAGCAAGAAATACCTCGAGCCTCACATATCAAGCATGAAACAAAACCACATAATTATTAAATTTTTTGCAGGACGATGAGCAACCAAATGAAAATGGTTCTCCTTGGTCGTAATGGCAGTGGCAAAACTGCCGTGATAGAATCACTTCTTGGAACATCCATCACACATGGAACATCATCGTTTGGGTGGAATAGTATCCATACAGTGACAAAGCAGAACTCTCAGTTAACCATTATTGAAACACCTGGGCTATTTGCAGAAGAACAGGATATTTACGCAAATAAAATGAGACTTGCAGAATCGGTGTACACCTTCACACCAGGCCCTGATGCCTTTGGACTTGTAATTCGAATAGGTCGATTTACACCAGAGGAGAAGACAATGATAGATATTCTTAGAGAAATGTTTGGAGAAGAAGTGTTTCAATTTACTGTTCTTATCTTTACGAGATTGGATGATCTAAAGTATGATGGCGTTACCCTGGAGGAATACGTACAAGAGAGTACACCGGAGTTGAAGAGAGTCCTTAATGCATGTGGAGGAAGATACATTGGTTTCGACAACACAGGAACGTGGGAATCCAGATCAGAGTGTGGACATAAGCTGCTATCCATGTTACAAGATCTCCGGACGCGGAACAGCACCATGGTTTATACTGTGGCCATGCTTGAGGACGCCACTAGGCGCCAACAGAAGAAAGAAGAAGAGGCTCGCAATGAACTAGAACAGAGCTACAAGGAAATGAAAGAAGAGTTGAAAAGTACCATGAGACAGGAAATGGAGGATGAGATAAGAAGACAGAGGCGGGCTGAACAAAGCATCACTGCCCCTATTTTAGCGTTAAACACTCAACGGAGAGATATTACAACAGGATATGGTATGTATACTTTTGTACAATATACTGTTTTGGTGTAGCTATTTTCATAAAGATATTGTGAACATATTTAAATGGTAAGAGTAATGCTTTACATATATACTGAGTCAAAAAAGAAACTTCACAAAATGTAATTTGAAAAATAATGAATATTTTTTCTCTAATGATACATCTATGTATCCGAAATGGGATTCCTATCTTTCGACTCTAGAAAAACGTGAGCAAAACCAACTCAAACCCATCCATTTGTCGTGCAAATGACGTTAGTGCCAAATCAGGTTTTGCACGTGCAGTCGATCACGTGATCTTCGCATCGAAGTTTTCTTCATATGCATGTGTTTGCATTGGCCTCAAGAATTGAAAAAACACTTTTAAACCACAGTTCTAAAGGTACTTGAAATGCCACGATTGTCAAATGTGCAATGTGAACGTGCCGTAAGCATGTTGCAAGCGGGAAGATCAGTTATTGACGTCGCAAGAGCAATGGGATGCAGCCGTCGTACTGTGTATGACTTGCGAGGTCGTCTACAACAAACTGGCACCACTTGTGATCGCCCAAGGTCGGGTCGTCCACGTATGACGTCACGAGCAGAAGACCGTCAAATCGTCCTACGTCACCTACGACAGATTTCTGCCGGCTACACGAACCAGGGCTGAGATGTTTAGAGGTCGACTGTCCTCACAGACCATTCGAAATCGGTTGCGGGCTGCCAATCTCCATTCTCGACGTCCATATCGTGGGCCAATATTGACGCCGTTTCATCAACGTCAACGTCTGCTGTGGGCCAAACGGCACCTCCTATGGACCCTGAGACACTGGAATCGAGTCGTCTTTAGCGATGAATCCAGGTTTACCCTCAGATTCGCGGACGGCAGGCATAGAGTCTGGAGACGACGTCGTGAACGGTATGCCCAATGTTGTGTACAGGAAGTCGACAGATTCGGGGGCGGAAGTTGCATGGTGTGGGGTGCTTTCTGTGGGAACAACTGTTCCCGACTTCTGGTCATCCGTGGAAACCTCACAGCTGCTGCTTACCGCGACCAGGTGCTCGCCCCTGAACTCGTTCCTTTCATGGCGGCTCATGGCCCAGGTCTACAGTTCCAGCATGATAATGCTCGGCCGCATACCGCGATGTTGACACGAAGCTTCCTTCAAAACGCTGGAATCAACGTCATGGACTGGCCTGCGAGGTCCCCTGACCTTAATCCAATAGAGCACGCTTGGGATGCACTTGGGAGAAGGCTTCGTGGTCTTAGGAACCAACCTCAGAATTTGCAGGAACTTGGCGCTGCTTTGCAAGAGCAATGGCGCAGAATCCCCAACAACGTGTTCACAAGCATCAGGCAGTCGATGAGGAGACGGTGTTTGGCAGTGGTGAATGCGCGGGGTGGCCATACACGATATTGAACTGAGAAATTTCGCATTTTTATTCTTGTGACTTGACATTCTGTATACCCATGTTTTGGAACGGCGGTGTAGCCTAATGGAACTGATTATGGCACTGTCAGTGTATCGAGTACATCAAACAGATCTCAGCAATGAAATGATAACAATTTAGCCATCTTACCATCTCTTGTTCTTTTATAGTGCCCTGAAGAAAGAATGTGAAGTTTCTTTTTTGACTCAGTATATGAACAACATATTTCAGTGATCATTATTTTCTAGTGGAAGTCTTTTTTTATACATCTGCCTGTTTTTCTGTGTCACAGAGCCAAGCAAACCCCAAAGTAAAATATACACAAGACAGAAGGATGTAACGGGGCACACAGTCTGCAAAACAAATTCAAGAGAAGGTAAAATATTTTTGAATATTTCTGTTTTTATCACCCGTGATTCAGTCAATGTTTAAGAGTTCTTCATTCCTCTCTGTGTGATACATTCCTAACTCTCAAGCACTCAGTAGCATGCGCCCTATTTTCAGGAGCTGCTTCTCTCAAACATGAAAGAGGACCCAAGCCAAAGTTAAAACCAAAGCCTACACCTCCAAAAGTACAACAACACATCTCTACAGATACGCTCGTCCAAGATGGTGGTATGTGTTAAATGCAATCTTACAGTCATTAATTTACCATAACATAATATGTTCTGTGTTATCCTTGATTTACTAATTCAGTTGTAACAGTAGAGTCAGTAAACACAATCATTTTTCTATGGTTGTAAAATACATGTGCGTCTGTGTTTGTGTCTTTCTGTGAATAAGAAATTGCAAAGTACAGTTTGCTGTTTAATAGGCTGATTTATCATTAAAACATGTTTTTTCTTTACTTATAGCTCAAAACGAAGGACATACTACCAGAGTGAAACCAAAACGAAGGGGGATGATTGGAAGATTGATTCGCTTTTGGGAGTCATTTCACTCAAAATAAGGCTTTGATCCAAACAGTGGTACCTTTTGTCACGACATGAAGAAACATGTAACATATTCTCTTAACTTACTCTGCTTTACAACAAATGCATTTTCCTTCTATTTCACTAGAAGCCTACTTTATGTTCCACTGAATAAAGTGTTTTCACGCTAGTAGTATCTGTCATTTGTGTGCACTGCGCAGTCCTTCTTCAAAGCGTTTTGCTTAGAGGCTGTGTTCACGGTTTTCTCTGATATTAGTTCAGTAATGACTCTTTCATGAGGCCTATTTTGTGTTGCATTGAGGTTGTGTTTCAATTTTGATTGTTACACAACTATATATTGGTGTTAGATTCGTGTTTTCCGTCACGCTGCGTGTTTGATCAGTTTGTTTACATGTTGATAAGTCGCAGATGGCAGACCTGTTGCTTGAGCCTTCAGAGTCGGAGACACTGTCGGTGTTTACCACCAAGTGTAACAGCTGTCATCTCCCCCAGAGTGGAAGGATCCACATAGTTGTTGTTCTGACTGCTTAGACGGGATGTGCACCAAGAAGGTTAAGTGCCCTGAGTTTGCAGCTTACCTCAGAGTGGTCAAGTAGCGCCAGCAACAGCCGTCTAGACGCATGCCTTGGGATAAATGCTAAGCTTCGGATCGGCGCCAGTCGCCAGACAAGCAACAGTCTCCAGATCAGCGTCAGGCGTCATCTGAGCACCAGTCATCAGAGCAGCACCAGTCTTCTGATGGATGCCAGTCTACTGATCAGCGCCAGGTAGCTGAGCAGCGCTGTCGTTCAGATCACTTTGTGGGGAGCAGGTCGTCTGGTCGGGACCACTCTCGATCAAGGACTCGCGGTCGTTCTCCTTTCAGATCAGACGGTTGGGGCAGGTCTGGTGCCAGACATTGTAGCGCCAGACGCCACTCATGCTTTCGGCACCACTCGCCATCGTCAAGTTCTACATACTACCGTTCAAGGTCGCTGACCAAAGGAGTTCACCTAGCGCCAGGCGCCGTTCGTCGAGGGCCAGTCGTCACCTGTCACCACTTCCCATGTCGCCTGTCATGGTCTTTCAGACGGTTTGCAGGTTTTCAGTGGCAGCTGGACACCGCAGTGCAGTGTCTTCCTTGTCAGCGCCATCTAAACCTCAACTGCTGGTTCTTTTTTAATCCCATAATCCCCTTGGAGCCCTTTTGAGGATGAGGATGAGTGTATGCCTATTCCCGTTGGTCGTCTTTGCATGGCTTGCCGCCTCTCCGGATTGTGCTTCTGGTGATGAGGATCTGGATTCTCCTCCCTGTGTTCCATATTCAGAGGATACCCAGGTGACTGCATATTTTCTCCAAGTGGAGCCAGTCACACTTAGAACTTCGGAGGAGACCTTGCGGAGAGCCTATAATGCTGACACACACCACACACACACACACTCCACCCCCAACCCCCCACCCCAGTGGACTTTGTGGTAACTGTGGAGAAGAAGGTTGCGGCTGCGACTTCTCCTCATTCTGGCTTGGCTCCTTCAATGACAGCTCGGGTCAGGAGGAGAATTCCCATTGCCCACCCTCACTTACTTACTGCAAAGCTTAATGATCACCTGAAGGCAGAACTTCACTCTGCATCCCCAGCTTCAGATCAGCTTTTTGCCAGGTGAGTATAGCGTACGTAAAGTAAGAGCAGGAGCAGCGGGTCGACCTCACGACCAAGAGAGTTGAGAATTTTTCTCAGAAGATTGTGGTGTCAGCAACTCTTAAGAGGCCTACTTTTCACCCCTCCAGGATTACATTTGCCAAGCCAAAGAGGAAGGTGCCTGACACCGCACCCAAGATCCTGTCCACGCCCTTCGTCTTCTCAGGGTACCAGCTTCCGCTCTAGATATCTCCACTATTGACCACTTGGCCAATAGAGACACCCCTAGTGTCAGACAAGCAGCTCCAGGCTGTGTTACAACTTCAGTTGCTTGTGGACAAGTCCAAAGTCCCAGCGACATCACCCCCGGGTTTTACAGTCCAATCTTCTACTTTCTGCTGATTTGAAATCTGCCATTTGGAATCTGTACGGTCCCGCGCTATCTGCACAAGCTTGGCGTCCCTTTGAAGATGGACCTCGATGACAGATTCGTGGCACAATTGTGTCTATGGCTGCTTGTCAGGCAGAGAGGCTGCGTCATCAGTCATTTTCATTGATTGGGATAGCTCGTCAACCTGGACAAGTGGGCCTCACTCCGTTTCAGTCACTCGTCTTCATTGGGGGTCACTTCCGGACGGACCTCGGTCGTCTGGTAGCTCCCCAAGAGAGGCTTCGCGCCTACCAACCCCTGATCCCCTTAGGTTCAGAGAGTGGCAATGCCTATTAGGCCTTCTCACCTCCGCTCAGGATCTGACGGCCTGAGGACGCCTGATGCTCGGACCCCAAGAATGGTGGCTCCAGCCATCCAATGTCCAAAGCAGAGTCTCCCTGCTGCTATTTGAGACTACTCGCCATCTTTTCGTGGACGTGTCCTTCCAAGGGCGAACCGCTCATTTGGACGCAGCGACATCAGCCAGGTTGTGGTCAGAAGAACCACAAGGTCTTCACATCAACAACCTGGAGTTTATGGCAGTGATCCCAGCCTAAGATCGCTGGAAACTTGAGTTGGCAGACAAGCCACTGACAAAGCGATGGTCGCGGCATTCATCAACAAACAAGGCTCAACGAGACAGCGTCTTTACTGAACCTGAACGTCTGTCTATTCGACATCATGGACAAGTTCTGAATTCAACTGAAAGCGGGTCACATTCCAGGTGTAACCAGACGCCCTCTCTCGTCCAGATCTTCATCCACCCACAGAGTAGATGCTGCATCCAACCGTCTTTTGACAGATAGCAGATCTCTGGGGTCGACCCATCATTGATCTGTTCGCCACAACAAGCAGCTGGAGATGTTCATCCCTCCAGTACTGGAACCTCACGCATGGGATCTGGACGCTCTTGTAGTCAGCTGGGATGGGTTGGATGCGTATGCCTTTCCTCCCCCATGCCTCATGCTCAAGTAGTGGAAAAGATCCAGTCCATCAATCTCCTTCTGGTAGTGCCACTGTTGCCTGCACGCCACTGGTTTGTGGTACTAACAGAACTGACAAGCGGTCCACCTCTACCTCTGCTGGATCAGGTGGATCTTCTGTGGAGCCCACACAAGAGGAGACTGCACCCGGAGACAGAACTAACTGTAAGTCTCGGCGGATCGTAGCCTCTTCGGCTTTGGTTGCTCAGATTGCAGACTTCCTCCTTTTCCTCCAGAACAAACGAAACTTCAAAGCCACCATGATCACCACTGGTGTAGGTTCTATGCTGTCTAAAGCTGGCGCCTCTCTGACGAGTGCCCCTGAGCTTAAAGCTATCCTCAACAAGACCAGATGAACACGTTTTGGATGCCATCTTGGCAGTTATCAGTGGCTCTCACCTATTTGGCAGGTGAACCATTCGAACCACTTGAAGACGCTACTCTTCTTCATCTTATAATGAAGACGGTGTTCCTGGTGTCCTTAGCAGCGGCGGCTCGATCATCTGAGATTCAAGCCATTGATGCCACGCAGGTCATGGCGGTGTTCATTTGGGTCTTCTCGTGGATTTCATAGCCAAGAACCAACTCCCTTCGCATCCCCCTAGCTAATTCTTTTTTTGGTTCCCTTGTGCCTCTGAGGAGTCTTCAAGATGTGGAGGATCTTTTCCTGTGGCCAGTTCGTGCTTTACGTCTCTATGTAGATCGCACACAGACCCTGCAGGGGTCTCGTAGGAGACTACTCCTTCCTAGTCGGATAAGGAAATCGGGAAGAATAACATTGGCATTGGTTCCGATCCTCATGAGAAAGATGGACTTCCGCCACCATCTTGGTTTTGTCCTCATTAGGTTCGAGCAGTTGCGGCGACCATGGCCATGCATGCTTACATCTCTGTGTTGGACATCATGCGAGGCTGTTTCTGGAGCTGAAGACACCACCTTCGCCAACCACTACATTCGGCATTTGGCGCCTGAGGATCTGGATGGACTGTGCTCCCTGGGTCCCCTAGCCTTTGTTGAACACACTGGTCGGATCACGAAGTCTTGCCAGACTTGACGCTTTCCAGTATCAGAGTTTGTCATGCACTTTGTATGTAAAGTAAACAAAGTCTGTGACAGGGTATTTTGTTTACGCACTCTGATGGTTCACGCAGTCTATGACTCGCGTTGCGCTAACACCTCACAAAGCTCTGGCGCCAGTGGGCGTCTAGGGTTGCCTGCTCTGGCGTTGTAATAAATTACTCTGCTTTTTCTATTTTTCTTGATCTGCTGATAAAGAAAAACAAATTGATTAATTTGTGCAACTATTATCGAAATGAAATTACTGCATAATATGCCTGTCATTGGAGCGTTATAGTACTGTCGCATAAGTATTATACGAATATTTGTTACAACAGCATGTAATATTGAATAACAAGTGGTTCATAATTGGATGACTCCAGGTGGGGAGTAAGAACAACAAATAACACGGCTGAAATGTTATTCAATTACGTCCTGTTGTTAATGTTAATCTGATGTTTGTCACAATATACTATATATGTATACTTCTCAACACCTAGTTGTAGTCACCTTTAGCTTGACGACGATGGAAGAATCTACACAGACACGTCACACTTTGCAATAAACAAGAAGTTGTCCATAAAGTCGTGTGCTTCATTATTGACAAAATGTTGATGGTTCGACATCACCCAGAGCGTCTGTTGTCAACCCCAAGAGTACATGACTAAACCAATGCTGAAGGAAACAAGCTCAAACGGCAGTTTCGTCAGGCAACTTGATTCAATAACGGGTCAATCGATTAGATATCATGTAGGTCATCTCCACGTTCTATTCGAATCATCATAATGCTTACTTTGCACTTCCATAGGCATGCCAGAGGCGGTGGAATGGTTGGGCAGGTATCAGGGCCAGCGGACAGTCCTATGGACAGTATGCAGACAATCTCTTATTCCATTTGCAAGACGTCTTGTTTTTGGAGACGGCAAAACTTGCGTTCACTGTGCTCGCCTACAGCAGAATCAATAGTGAGATCACACACAGTGTGCCTTGTTGACTTAATGAATGTTTATAACCGTGGTAGCATTACACACTACTAATTAAAAACCTTTCAAATTCACACCTTATGCCTATCGTCCTTCAAGATTGTTGGAAATCATAACAGTTTCTGTCAAACATCCGAAATGGGTTGCCAATTCGTTCATTATCATCATGCAACTGTTCCTGGACACAAATATCCATTCAAGTTTTGGAAAGTTTAAGTTAAATACGAGTATCCCCTACTTCATAAATAGAGTTGTTTCTTGTACCATTTGAACAGTAGCAGCAAACTAGGAAACACAGGTGAAGTAATTATAGCAAAAGACATTACGAAAACAGTTTTTACCTTTGTATTTGTATGTGAGACAGGCACACAAAGGACGTAATGAGGACCTCCAGTCGTCAAGACTTCCATTGTTTTGGGATCATCTGTGAATTTGTGGGTTAGACTGCTGACTTTGTGAGCTGGAGATTTGATACCTCACTCTGAGATTGTGGGGTCGAATCCCGGATTGCAATCAGCCTAAAAATGCACTTGAATCTGTACGTTACTGAGAAAGTGTTGTCAATTAAGCGGAAAAAATAATTTTTATACTGTACCCAGAGGTAATTATTATTATAAGAACTGACAGATTTTTCATATTATCAGTGCCATTGGTCTCTTTGAGTGATGGTATCGAGGTATGGTATGACGTCCGCAAATATGGTCAGGGTGGTGACTATAGTGTTATGTTAGCATAACATGCATGAAATCAACATGGTTATTCTGATGAAAGAACCCTAACACTACGATACAATGAAATACTTGATGTCTTTCAGTGGCATTTAGAAGTTGTACATTGTTGTCCAAGATATTTTTATGGATTAAACTTCTTTTTAATTTCTGTCACGACTTTTCGAGACCATTCCAGGTCCCTTCATCATGTGAACTGGCAGTCAGGACTATGACGTCGTCACTATGACGTCATAACTGAGTTATGTATATCAATTACAACTCCTGTCACCACCCACAGATCAAACAAGCAATTATTGCTACTCTCACTAGAAGAGCCAAGTCGATCTGTCACCCAGATAATTTAAACAGTGAAATTGATTACCTCAAGAGAACCTTTACTGTCCTCAATGGCTACCCAGCCCGTCTTGTCTCCAGGACTATCACCAAAACGCTTGAATCATCAGAACCGCGCCTCAAGCCTGAACCATCCCCAATCAGGATCACAATACCCTACGTGGGACCAGTCAGCCACCAGATAGCCCGACTAATCAAGAGCAAAGCGGCTTTGATGTAACTTTCTCTAGCGGTACAACAATTAAGACACTCCTCCGGGCAAATGGAAGAGGATCTAGCAATGGAATCCCCAACCCTAGAGGATGTGTATACCAAATACTATGCAGCTGTGGCGATCAATATATTGGCGAGACTCTCAGGCCCATTAACACCCGAGTTGCTGGACTCAAGTCGTCAGTATGCAAACAAAATGATAAGTCAGCTATATCGGAGCACAAGGCAAATAACCCAAGTCATGTAATCAGGTGGAATGATATCAGGGTGCTTTCGAGAAATAACAACGACTGGCGTCGGAGAAAACTACAGGAGGCTGTGGAGATAAGGAGACATAAGCCAGCAATGAATCGTGATCAAGGTGTATACCTGCCAAGTGCGTGGGACCTCTTGATTAACTTTTGATGAAAATTAGATAAAAGAAAAACAAGTCTACTATTCTTTTTGGAAAGCCTGCTATCAAGTAACTTTTGTGTAATTAGCAGTTGTTGTGTATTGACAATTCAACTTTCAACTCTATTATTTAGCATGAATTTTCATCATTATGTAATTAACTCTTCAAACTCACTTATACAGTACTCTCCCTAGTGTACTGTGATGTCACTTGCATTGTGACGTCATAACTCAGTTATGACATCATAGTCCTAACTGCCAGTTCACCTGATGAAGGGACCTGGAATGGTCTCGAAAAGTCGTGAGAGAAATTAAAAAGAAGTTTAATCCATAAAAATATCTTGGACATCAATGAAATACTTGGTTGTTATCCATAAAAAATGTTTTGCGTCAACTGTGGTGTTTGGTTTCGAAAACAAGCGCGGAACGTTAAGCTTAAGGGGATTTCTCTTTATGTGTTTCTAATAGACCATTCCAGAACAGAAAGAGATGACTGTTGCATTTTGTTTTCTGAATCATTTCAATCCGACCTTTGATAGTGTGCAGACACAATATCTACATTCTAAAAAATGATTGATCAGACTAGTGATTAAGACTAAAATAAGGACAGAAAAATTAAATACGTCATTGGTACCGCAACGTTTAAAGTGACACACAAATCATATGATAATTATTATCCCATTATGAAAGGATGTTTTTACAATTTGAGTTCATGCTTTTGTAATTTTCTGCAAGTTTGAGCTAATGCATAGTGTATGCTCGTCATAAATACTTTGTTATCATTTTGAACATTACACCCTTATCGATATTGTAACAACAGTCACCAAAGATATTCAAATCGTGCGTTCTCTTCATGAAAATCATCCATATATTTCAGTGTGGGTATGTTCAACCTGTTTCCATAACAACGATGCCTCCCATGAAACTTGCCAAGGATGCGGAACACCCAAATTGATGAGGACGAGGTCTGTTGCAAAAGGTATGAATCCACTCTTAGCTGATTATGGTTTTAATTGTCTATTTTTGTTGCAATATTAGGGCAACGTATATAAAAAGCAAATCATGTTTGTTATAGATAAGACAGTTTTCACATTTAGATCTGAAGGTTTACCCGAATAATTTCACATTTACTTCCTTGGTTATAGCAACGTACATCTTTAAATCAAAGAGTTATGCTTTGTTACCCCGTTTGTCGTAACAGAGATACACGTTATTAGTTGTTGTTAATTAAACCATATTTTGGCACTGGGTGGCAATACATTGAATATTGGAACCAGATTATTATCGTGTTTGTCATTGATTTTATGAACATGTAAAATCTGTTTCTTTTCGTTTTTGAAGGTGCACAACGGATGTCAAAAGTTCCATGTTCTACCCCGAATGATCCGGCTTCTAAACCCCCTGTCTACAGTAAACCAAGACAGAAGGTCGCCCGTGTCAACCCTGTTCCAAAACCCTCACGACAAGGAATAGGTAAGTCTACTGGTCTAGGACCTCAAAGAGGATTCATGTGCTTAGCTGTGTCTCATATGTGTTACATAGATTCAAAGTACATTGGCTTTATGTTTATATATACGCATACTTTGGTCATTCATTTTTGTTTTCAAAAGATTTGACCAACGTTGTATGGAACAGGTACATGCAAAATCATGTCTGAAATTTCTGGATAGTGAAGTTCTGTCATGACCCGAACTAAAGGATATATCATGTTTATTAGCCATAAGTAATCAATTATATCTGGTATACGTGTGTATATATAATATAATACATTAATAAAAGCATTATGTCTTTCAGAATTGGGCGAATTGAGACTCGTACTGCTAGGTAAAACTGGAGCGGGAAAGAGTGCAACAGCAAACACAATACTAAATGAGAAGGTTTTTGACTCAAGATCATGTATGTCCTCGGTTACCGAAAAATGCCAGTTTATTCGTCGCGAGGTGTTTGGCAACACCATCCAGATTGTTGATACTCCCGGATTATTTGACACCAATACAAAGAAGGAGGTTATTGATACAGAAATTAAGAAATGTATTGCAATTTCGGCTCCAGGACCACATGCCTTCTTGTTGGTTTCATCCTTAACCAACAGGTTCACCGAAGAAGAAGGAAAGGTTTTTGACGAAATTGACGACATGTTTGGGGAACATGTGCTCAAGTACATGGTCATTGTCTTTACTGGAAGAGATCAAATTAAACCTAAAACAGTTGAGGAACACATTCAAGGCGCTCCAGACAAATTAAAGCAGCTTCTAAGTAATACTGGTGGCGGATATGTCACCTTAAACAACAGAGGCGACGCATCTGAAAAAGAAGCTGATGTAAAATGCCTTTTAGAACGCATCAAAGATACGGTCGACAAGAATGGAAGGAAGCCTTTCACATCGAAGATGTTTCAAGAGGCAGAGGAAATTATACAAGAGAGGATCCGGAGAGATAGAGCTGAGAAAAAACAAGAGATGAGAAGGGAAATTGAGGAAGAACTGCGCGAAGAGATCAAGAAGGAGAGAGAGCATTATGAGATGCTCCACGAAGCCAATGTGAAACAAATGGAAGATCTTAAACTGAAACTGAAGGAAGAGCGGGATAAGCATGTCAGAAAGCGTTCGGTAGTTAGACAGAATGAGAGGACCATGGAGGAGCTTGTACGGAAGGAAATGGAGATGAAGGCAAAGAAGGGCAAGCTTGTACAGCAGATGCAAAATGCTGAAGGTGGGGAGAGAATGCAAATTCAACACCAACTGGCAAGTGTTGCGGAGGAGGTCAAGAGCGTACTTGCTGAAAGGAAGAGAGTAGAAGATGAAGTCACAGACGACCGGTTTCAAGCAGAATGTGATTTGAGGGAACAACAAGTAAGAAAAGCTGAAAGGGAAAACATACAGAAAGAAGATGAATCAACACTTCGTAGATTCACCGATGGCATAAGGACTATGGGGAATCGTTTCCTCAGTTTATTTAAGTAGACGTACAGAGAATGAGGTTTAGTGAAGATGATTCGTTCACTAAAGTGTGCACATACCTTTTACCTTACTATCATCTGCTTGTATCATATCTAAACCTTATAAAACTGTTTTTGTTTCCATTCACTTTACTGCCGCTCTCATAATATGATGTGTTCATTTCAAGGAGTAGCAATGTAGTCTTGTTTGGAGTACTCTTGTCTTATCTTATTAGATTATATTTTAGAATGTAGTTTTAATGTCACAGCCCAAACAAAATCGAGACCTGCCTTTAAATAATCGAATATGGACATGGTAAATCGATTTTGAAGACAAGCAGTGAGACAAGCCACAACGACTTACCACCTGGTTCTCTTTGTAGTGCAAATATTTTACTACTGAACCCTACGAAGCAGACATGTAATCGCTTTTGTTCTTCTTATTAGTTACTTCCCAAATAAATCATTTTCAAAATATTTGTTTTCATCTGATGCATTGTTCAGGCATGTCAGTTGAAAATGAAAGGAAATTGGGCGAGTCTGCAAATGACAATGTCCAATTACTGATACTATCACTTTATCTTAGGTTTGCTTTAAGCATACCTGAACTGAACAGTCTGTTCACACGAGGTCAATGTGTCACTGGCGTAGAGACATGGAGGTACGTCGGGGGAAAACCAGCTTTGTGGGTGAAAGTGCGGTTATTGATACTGTGACCTACAACCAAGTGCAGTGGATTCCAATACCTTGTACTGTTTACTGATCCTATTTTCAGCCCTTAGTGGTGTGTTGCTTCATCTAAGTAGCTAAAGTTTTGTTCTTAAATATCAGGTGTTCGGCGTACCAGTAAGATTACCTATGACGTAATCCCAGATATTACACTGGCCTCGAAGATTTTGAACTTTCTTCCGATTCGGACTCTGTCTTCCGTCAATGATTATTCTGTGATTCATTTATCAAGAAATGGAGGCCAATCAAACAATTTAATAAATCATTCCCACAGCATCAACTTGATAAATCAAATGAAATTATTTCTAGGAATGGGTACTGTTCCTTGCATCACATTAACTGTTCCTTGCATGACATCAACTGTTGCGCGCATGACATCAACTGTTGTGTGAATGACATCAACTGTTGCGTGTATGACGTCAACTGTTCCTTGCATGACATCAACTGTTCCTTGCACGACATCAACTGTTCCTTGCATGACATCAACTTTTGCGTGTATGACATCAACTCTTGCGTTCATGACATCAACTGTTCTCTGTATGACATCAACTGTTCCCTGTATGACATCAACTTTTCTCTGTATGACATCAACTGTTCTCTGTATGACATCAACTCTTGCGTGTATGACATCAACTCTTGCCTGTATGACATCAACTGTTGTCTGTATGACATCAACTGTTCCCTGTATGACATCAACTGTTGCCTGTAGGACATCAACTGTTCCCTGTATGACATCAACTGTTGCCTGTATGACATCAACTGTTCCTTGTATGACATTAACTGTTGCCTATATGACATCAACTGTTCCCTGTATGACATCAACTGTTCCCTGTATGCCATCAACTGTTCCCTGTATGACATCAACTGTTGCGTGTATATTGCTGCTCGGAGGAACACCGTGCAGTCACTAAAGATAATGACCAAAGAAATGCTGATAAAGAAATTCAACCCCAGACAGTCAGGTTTCAAAACAAACTAAGTGAGACGAGGAAAGATACGGGATGTAACTTTGCATAAAAGTACGTTCCTCGGGGCAATCAATGACAAAGCATAAAAAAAACAGTATGGAATAAATTTAACACAAAATACAAGACAACAACTTTAAATCAAATGCTTTATACCATGAAGAAACAGTTGAAATGAGACAAGCAAAATAATTTTATTGAACTAGATAAACTGTTCAAAGCGGATCAGTTGTTGGTTAAAACTGTATATAAACCGTACCAGTGCAGTGTAAGCTCTCAATGTGTTGGATAATCAACAGTAAAGCTTATAATTATGGATTGTTATGTCAGTAGAATGGGGTTTTATCCTCCCTGAGCGATTACTTGTTTTGCTCACGTCTTTATTTGCTGGTCAATCCTACTTCAGATGTATTCGAAAGGACAGGTGCTGACTTCAGGACCCATTCCTGCTAAAGTACTTTCGGAAATTAAAAAAACTGTTTATATAGTTAGTATGTGAAAGTGTAAAATAGCTGTTAAACTAAGTTCGGCCTAACTACAATCACAGTGGTTGGGTGAGGTGAAGTGAAATTGGGTTTAACGTCGTGCTTGAGAATATTTCGCTCATATGACGACGTGCATGCGTGTGTATGTGTATGTGCGGCTGCTTGTACTAGCCCACACTGAAGCTGGTTTTATAGTGCTAGCCCACTGAGATACCACGCCGCAGCGAAGCATGAATACCCCGCTCAGACACATTATACTGACTCCGAGCCGACCAGTCCTTGGTGTACCCATTAATGCCGAGCGCCAGGCAGGGACCAACAAGTACCACATTTTAACGTCTTTTGGTATGACGCGGTCGGGGATCGAACCCGCGACCTTCCACTCTCCGGGCGGACGTTCGTACCACTACACCACGGGACACAGTGGTAGGGGGATAGGAAACGTGAAAAAGGACCTTACTAAGGAGACATGGGTGCAGAAACTCCAAAGCGACTTATTTGGAACAGATCATGGCTTTATGCAACCCTGGGCTTGACATAAACAAACAGGTGTGTGGGGGTGTGGGGGGGTCTCAAAAGCAAAACCACTACGCAAGCACAAATTGGATAGCTTTGATAAGGGGATCATAAGGAGAACAGTGTAAAAGTTGTATGACAGGAAGAAACCACCAACCTTCCGTACCTTCAGGGAAGAGATATGTGATATCATTAGTGTATCTGGAACAACTCTTATCACTGCTCTCCATGAAATGGGGTTTAGGTATAAAGCAAGGGGAGATGACCGTAGAGTGTTTCGTGAATCCTCAACCTCAGGTCAAACTATCTCAGAAGCATCGCCGAATATCGGGAGTTGGGTTTTCAGATAGTATACCTCGACGAGACATGGATGGACAAGAATCACTCCACGGATCACATGTGGCTACCACCAGATGGTACATACAACAAGGCCCCAACCATTCCATCTGGTAAAGGTAAAGCCATAGTCTACCGATCACACACGTTAGAACAGCAGCATGGCCACGTTGTCTTACGGACTCCAGTGAGACATTGTGAGCTGAATCCGATAGAGCTGATCAGGGCTAACTATAAGGGCTTTGTAGCCAGTCACAACACGTCCTTTCTGATGTTCGATGTCAAACATCTAGTCTATGAATATTTTGCCAGAATTACACCAGTGATCGACAGCGGGATCGCGTCGGCGTCGGTTGTGTCAGACCCGTCGTCATATCTCTGAACGTTTCCACGTCGGACTCCAGTGATTCAGAGGTTGATGACACCTAAACACTACAGGCCATGTTAGAACGTAACTAATCTGTTATATGTTGAGAGGGTGTCGCAGACCGTGGTTTGGGTCGGGCTTGGGGATAGAGATATCAGCCAAGATAAGATAATCCTTTAGGGAAATTAAACTGGGGAAGTAAACGGCATGTCATATCAATTTACAAATAATATCCAGTCCTCTTGATCTTCGGCAGGTCATGCCACCTATATATTTTGAGACATATAATACGCTGGCTGATTTAAGCTTTTCTTTGGGTATCATTCTCTTTTACATATCTCAATTTAAACTTTGTGAAAGAAGGACACGTAAGATGTTAATCAATAGATGAGACATATTCAACACACATGTAAAAGCATAAAATATCTTTACGATGACACCTCGTGACATTTCATGCCATGTGAGACAACCGGGCGACGTCATACCTGGCTGAGCAACCCAATTGCCATCTATAGTCTAATCTACTGTTTTCAGCAACCATTCGTATTTTTTCTAAGTTTTGCCCGATTTTACGAGTAAACATGATTTTTCTCGATATCAGATTACGCATCCCACTGAACGCACTTTTAGGCCGATGTGGGTTATTTCCACATATGCTGTTGCAATTGTGTACATTTTAGGAATACAGAGTAACAGCCTAAAACAATTGGATTTTTTTTCAATTTCCGACAGTAATGTAGAGGAATATTTCGGGGCGATTCTTTTAGCCCTTTGCTTTTTCTGTTTTTACTAAACCCTTTCAGCCTCTTGATTAACACATAGGAAGGTTATCATCCAGGACCTTTTCAGCATAGATCCCCAACAGTATTGATACCCTCTACGGAACTGTTCTGAGCGAGAACAGTTTGATAGCTCATTTAAATGCATCCCTCCCTTTTAGCTGTCAGAAGAAGAATTGGAAATGTTTAAGTCAGTTGGATGAGGTTTTATGCCGCTCTTTAAGAACGATATTCCTACCATATCACGACTGGTATACCAGAAAGTCCCATCACACATAGAAAAACAGCTGCAGATAATGCAGTTTCTTAGCATAACAATTTTAGCATATTTTCTGAACGTATGCACAAGCATTTCAATGAAGTGCTTATTCCACACTTCTCACAAGATGATAACAATCAAGGTCTTCAATCTTCAATGTACTGACGATTTGGTTCACGTGAATCATAGCGCCGTGATATAGCCATAAACACTTTAACTCTCTTCCGGAACGTTGAGAAACAAACATGACATAACAAAAATATGGTTTTATTGACAAAAATATATTCATCTTGAAATGCCGATTTATGTGATACTTGGATGGCATCACAAACAGGTACTTGACTTGGCCTTACTTCCTGCAACAACTGAATCAGCAAACAGTAGTTGGCACCATTGGGTCTTGTCTCTTTGTTGTGAAGCATGCAGTTGGTCTAACAGACTATTGGAAAGTTGGTGTTACAAGGATCATACACGTAGCCGCTTGTAACGCGTTGTGCTATCTGTAGTACGCACTTGACTTTTGGCCTCCAATTAAAGAATAATCCTCTCTTTCTTCGCATGCTAGGGTTGACGTCTGAAAAAAGCAATA